TCTTTTCAATGGGGGAAAGTGGGAGGGAGACAAAACAGACTTTTGTTAACTGAAAAAAATTAAATTTAAAAAAGAGGGAAAAAAGTATAGCTACATTAATAAGTAAAGCCTTGTTAGGATTGTTATGTAATGGAAGTTTATTTTTCCTCTAGTATGGAATCTGAATTAGCGTTTCATATTTAGCATTCCCAAAGAGGAAGCCATTAATGCTTCTAAAAGGCCTTTGATTCCTTTATTTGAGAGAACAGCTCGAGTTACCTGCCGGATAACTGGCATTTATCCCTTGCTTCATTCCTTTGCATTATCCCTTGGCTTTTCCTTAAATACCTAAAGCAGCCAAGAATGTCTTTTTTTTCCTCCAATAATAACTTGATAAGTATCTATCCGTGCCATTTGCCCTAGCACTGGGCCTTACCATTTGACCAACAGTTGAACTCTCCCTTTATTAGAATATGAGCTCTTTGAGAATAGGGACTCTCACTTTTCTAATTTGTATTCTTAGTGCTTTCTGTATAGTAACTACTTTAATGCTCTTTCATTAACTCATCCCCTCTTTTCTTCTTTCCTTCATTCATTTGAACTTAGACAGCCCTATTGAATTTGGCAAGATAATTGGGAAACATTCCATCATATTTCTCAACTAACTCAAAGATCTCTAAGTGTAGATCTAGAAGGCAAGGTGGCAGATCATACCTTGCTCCCCAACAATCACCATCCTGGAATCCCAGAAAAAGAAGCACCTTTTTCCTATACAAAAAGGGAAATCTCTGGAGCCACCACACAGCCCCAGTACCATACCACTGTTTCAATCTTACTGCAGATTTAGAGGCTCATAGTATCCCATTCTCATCTTTAGCTGGCTGTAAAGGTTATCTTTTAATAAATCTCTTTTGGATGCCCAGATCTTATATGTGAATTTTCTTTTCTACTCCCTAGTTTAGATGATGAATTATTATATAATCACTCATTTGGAGAGGTGCTAGCTGCTAATTGAAGGAACTGAATTGGCCAGGAGAAACTGATCGTCACCTTCTCATTTCTAAACTCTTCATACTCAAGGAGCCTTCTTTCCAATTACAGCAGTTAGTGGCCTTAATTGGTGGGGGGCTAATGAATTACTGTTTTCAGTGGATGTGGACCTACAGAGAACCTTGAATCCAATAGGTAGATATTCTGGGGACCCTATGTGTTACACAGGTAAAACAGGACTTACTTAAGGTCACAATGCAAGTTGGTGACAGGAATGGAGAGCGAATTGAGGTCAGGGCTTGATTGTTTTGTTGATTCTCCAAACTTAAATGATGGAAGAAAACATTAATGCAGATTAAACTTTAAAGTATGTCATGTATACATCCCCACCTCAGTCCATTGTTAAATATTTACCAGCACACCCTTGCTTACAACTCATGACTTCATTGAAATTGTATTCTTGAAAGTCAATAAATGGCCTCTTTCTTGCCAAATCTAATAATTTTTTTCTCTTTCTTTGACCTCTTTGGTATTTGACATTTGACTACCAATTCTTTTTTTTTTTTCTTTTTAATACTACCTTATCCTAATCAAATGGGGAGGGAAGAATGAATGACATAAAATATTTTTATTCAAGGTAGATATGAAAGTTACTTTCATAACAACCTACAAAGGGAGTTCAGAGTAGGGAGAAATTACTTTTGACTGAAAGAATAAGGAAAGCTACAATGGAGAAGGTACAGCTACATTTTAGCTGGGCCTTGAAAGAATGGGCAGAAACTGAGTAGATGAAATTGAGGTGGGAAATGGGTATCATGAGCAATAAATAGCATTAAAGGTAGGAAAGTACCAGGAGGACCTATGTGGAACCTTTGTTCACACCTCTATTTGGAAGCTGCAGGATGACCCCAAGTTTATAAATACTTTTTCCAAATGATTCGAAATTATTGAACTCAAGCATTTCCTTTTGAGTATCACCATGGCTATTTTAACACTTAGTGTGTAACAATTCCAACTATAACACATGTTTCCGTGTAAATTAAAAAATATACTGACAAAGAAATACAAGAGCATGATAAGTATCAAAAATATGATTTAAAGGTGATCAAAAACAAATATTATTAGATAAGAATTTGTTTTTAGTGCACAGCAGAGTAGGAAGGGAAAGGTAAAAGAGAGAGAAGAAAAGGCATTTAGCTTCAACCCAGGACATTTTGTCACCCAAGTGTATATTTATGACATCAGTAAACTCTCACACTGGTAATTTTTTGCAATAGTTACTCAGTGGTCCCTGTCGACTGGTTTAAATAGTAGGAAGGGTTTTATCATTCCTTACATATTCAATGTTAATTTTAAATTGTAACAATAACATTTCAAAGTGAATACTACATTATCTTTCTTTTCACTCAGTTTCACTTAAAATGAAATTACTTAAATTTAAAATAATTTATAAAAGTTTCAGAAATAATCATCTAACTCCTTGGGTAATAGAAAAGTGGTCCAGCTTCTTTGGGTGTATCAAGGAATTCATTCAGGTAAGCAAGAATATATGCTTACGCGGATAGCCCACTGGCCCTGGATTCAGGAGGACCTGAATTAAAATTTGACCTCAGACACATAACACTTACTAGCTGTGTGACCCTGGGCAAGTCACTTAACCCCATTGCCTAGCCAAAACAAAACATATATATATATATATATATATACACACACACACATACACACACACATATATTACATATATATAACACATATATATATATACATATATATCTACACTTGCAAAAGGAGTGTTACATAGCTGCCCTCATACAGGATAAAACAATTAATATGAAAACTGACCCAAAGAAATAACAGATGACTCAAAGCAATAGAAAATGATTCTAAATAATTCAAAAGGTGACCAAAATATTAAATAAAAACTGTTTAGATTGCTCATCCAACTTACACTTTGTAATTTAGACTGAACATCTGCTATAATTTTAGAAGAGATTTTTATAGTTGTCCGGTCAAATAAATAGTTTGTTTTTCAGATCTCCAACAATAATAAGGTGAGTTTTTGACAAATGATATGTACTTGGAAGTAAAAGTCTCACATGAAGTTGGGTAAGTTTTGCTGGAGCATAGGGTGTGTGAAGGGGAGCCAGGGGAGATGAGTCTGCAGAAGTAGCAGACACCAGGGGCTCATGGAGAGGCTTTCATATAGGAAAGTGAGTCTGGCCTCAGTTTACTCAAATGGAAAAATGAGGCATTGTCTTCCAAGACGATCTCTTCCAGATTCATATCTATGATATTATCTTATTTTTTTTAAAAAAATACTTATGTGGAGCACTGGTTCAGGACTTTCGGGATGAGGGTCGGGAACAAGACACGAATCAATGACAACAATCAACTTATAGTTAACTATTTTTGAGCCATTATTTCTTATGATCCTGGTGCAAGCTTGTGATATAGGTAGAAGAGTTTATGTTAATCGCATTTTATAGGTATGGAAACTGAAGCTCAGGGAAGTTGAATGATTTGCTCCAGATCACAAAGATGCTATTAAGTACCATAACCTGGATTTAAAGGTAGATCTGACTCTGAGCTCTATGCTCTTTCAGGCACCAGGCTCCTCCCCGATGATATCATAATTATAGACTTATTAAAACCGAGAAGGGGGGGGCAATCCTTTCATTCTTCGGAGGTAACTGAGGTCCCAAAGGGGAGAGTAATTTATCCAAGGTCACACAGCAAATGAATGAAAAGGAATGCAATGGGACTCCATTTCGGGTTTACCTAGATTTCCGAGTGCTCTTTCCACTCCACCAGATTAGACCAGGGATGAAAGATACAGAAACCCCCAATTCCAGGACAAGGTGTGCAATTAATTCTAGTCTGGGAGTTCCATAGGGAAGGCCCAGAGAAAGCCAGGGAAGCTGCTGCAGCAATCCTGGTGTTTATCTTTATTGCTGCTGTATTATGGTTATTGGTATCTCTGGGACCGATAAGGAGAGCAGAGATCAGATTTTTTTCCCCTCTGTTTCTCGTACTCGTCTGGGGATACTCCGTTAGAAGGGACATTCCCGTTTTGGGCGGTTCCTTTTTGTAAACCAGTACGACGCAGGGAAAGCATAGGAACCCATCTGCCCTGCAGTGCTTGGCTCCTCTGGTCAGAAATCGGTCTTGTGTAGGTTGGGCCCGTGGGAAAAGCAAGGTTGGGAGGGAGGACCTGCGCTTCCTTCACTGCAGGTGAGCTGCGGAGCCGTGGGCCCCTCCCCACTCCGCCCGCAGCCCGAGAGCCAAGGTCGTAGAACCACGCGCCTCACTAACGTGAGAGGCGTCCACGGGAAGAACTGGGGGATACCCGAGTGAAAGGGACAGGAACGCCCGAACCCCAGGCGGGGCAGAGCTGAAACCAGCTGGCTGCAGCCTGGGGTTGGGGGTAGGGGGCGGAGGAGCGGAAGCCGGGCAACAATGTGGAGGGGGCGGGAGAGGATCGGACGGGGGGGGGGGGCTGCAGCCTGAGTTTCCCCAGCTCCAGCTGCTGGGAGAGACTGATTGGCCTTCTCGGACCGGATGAACCGTGGCCGCATGCCTGAAGCCCAGAGTCAGCACCAGGCAGGGAAAAGGCGCGCCGCAGCACCGAGTCCCGGGCCGCGGCGGGGACTGCGCACCGGGGCTCCGGGGCTCCGTGCAGCCGCGCACCTCCTCACCCCGAGGCGCGTCCCGAATGCCCACTGCCGTTCAGGTTGAGCTCAGGGGCAGCTTCTGCACGGTCCTGCCCTCCCTGGAGCCAGTGACTGACACCGCGGGAAGCCCGTGAGGTGCGGGCGCCGGTTGCTAGGGCGTTGAACGCGAGCCAATGAATATTATTCGTGATGGGTAAGGGGGCGGGGGAGGCGGGCCGGGGGAGGCTCGCTTCTCGGGCTGCTAACGTCTAGCCTCGGAGTTGGATGCGCCAACGGACCCGCCGTGATGGGCGTGGGGCTGGCCCAATGAGGGTGGGCGTGGGAGGGGCGGCGCGGCGCAGCAGTGCTAAAGGAGCCCGGCGGAGGCAGCGGTGGGTTTTCGTCTGAGAAGCCGAATCTGTGGTTGCTGCTGGGCACTTGCGGTCGCCATCATCTGCGCCTCAAGGTGAGGGGTGCGGGCGCCTCCAGCCGCCCTTTCGCACCGGCCCTTCCGCTTTTCGCCGCCGCCGCGCTGGCGGGGCCGGGAGGGCCGGAGTGCAGGAGGGCGCTGGCTGGGCCCGGCGGGTACCCGGACTTGCTTGGGGCGGGGGTCTTCTCTGTCTGGGCGGAAGGAGAGGGACTTGAAGGGCTGCGGTGAGAAGAGGCGGCGGCGGCGGCGGCGGCGGCGGCGGCTAGGGGAGGGGTCGCGGGTGTGCGCGCGCGCTTAGGAATGGCAGTAGGGCAGGGGGCCCTCGCGGGGAGAAGCTGGAGGGGGACAGCCCCCTAGTGGGGGTGGGTGGGAGCTTGTGTCAGGGAGTGGGCTCCCTGGAAGAAGGGGTTCAGGCTCTGTGTAAATCTGCTCCCCTAGGCGGGTCTGGGGCACCCCTGGAAGGGTGGGGGCTCTGGATGGATTTGGGGGTGTTGTTTGTGGGAACCCCTGAAGGGCGAGGAGGGGCTCTCTGCAGGGCGGACAAAAGGAAGGGGGCCTCTAGTGTGTTCTGTGGGAACCTTGGAGGAAAGCGGGCTCCGCGTGCGTGCGGGCAGGGACCCTTGTGCGGGGAGGGGACAACGAAAGAATGACGGCAGACGGAGCCTTCCGAGGGGAATCTGGATGCCTGCGGACCCCGGCCGGGAGAGTTCCCGGGGAGGGCGTGTAGCCCCGGAGGGGCTGGGTGGAGTCCCGGGAGGAAGGGGTTCTGGGTAGGACCGAGGGGGCGCTGATCCGGCGCGGGTCGGGGAAGGCCGTGGCTGGGAGGGAAGGGGGAGAGCTGGGTGGGCTGGGCTCGGCTGCGGGCCCTTGGTGGTGGAGGGGATTGTGGGGAGACTCGAGATTAGACTCTGGAACGGGGTGGGGGGAGGGACAGAGCCATGCGGGCTGGGAAAGCGCGGGTACCAGGTGCGGGAAGAAGTAGTGCTGAATGTGCTGTGAGTTGATCCTGGAGAAGTAGGGCTGTGCGTGTATTGAATAGGGTGGGATGGAGGAGGAGGGGTTAAGGTGTAATGTGAAGGAAGAAGGCAGGGGTGGGGGCTACATCTGTGCCTTGGGAAGGGCCTTGCGGAGGCGGGAAAATGTGGCTCGCTTGGGAGGGAACAGTGGGGGGGGGGCTCCCTAAATGAGAGGGGGCTGGCTGCTCTTGGAGGCTGGGTGGCGGGGAGGGAGGGTCGATCCTCGATTTTGGATATCTTTTCTATTGTGTGAGTGACCGAGAGTCTCATCTCTGCTTTCTCCAGTTGAGGGGTTGTCCCCGGGAGCTCCCCATTCTGTTCCTCTCCCCGCTCGTCCGCCCTCCCAGATCAATCGATTATGGGTCGGAGGCGTTTGTGGGAGCTTTTGGACAAGCTCTTTTATCCATGTGGAAAAGCCCTTTGGATTGGCCTGGAACATAATGCCCCGACAAGGGTGAGAGCATGAGGAGATTGGGTGTAGGTGTCAAGCTCTCAATAATCACCGTTATCTTTCAGGCTCTGCAGCTCCCTGCAGGATCACTGCGGTTGATGGGGGGGGGGGGGGTGCAGTGGCAGTGGGTGGAGGTAGGGACTGCACAAGAAACAAAGACCTCCCTGCAGTTTTAACTGAATAATAAAATAACAAATATACTACTGTGCTTTGCTGAGATTTTGACTTTTGATTCTGAATCTGAGGATTGTCTGAACTATCTGAATTATTCTTGATGCCATTTCACTTTAAAAAAACCTTGTATTTAAGTTCTAAGTATCCTCTAACTATCCTTTTGGTCTCATGGTTTTGATATTTAAATATCTCTTGGCCTAGAAAAGTAGCCATTTTATGCATTTTATCTCTGCATCTTGAAGTCTGTCACTTCTGGAGAAGACATGAAGGGAAATGACCCGTGAGAGCATTGCTTTTTATTTAGGATCCTCAGGGAAATTATTTCAATAAAGTCTGGCTGGATGATAGTAGAGGAAAATTGGAAGAGTAGTTTGGATGGAGGATAAAGGAATGTAGAGTTTTGGCTGTTTATTTTACTTCCTTATCTCTACATCCACATATAAACAATTAAGATTCTTAGTTTAGTGTTCTAATTTAAGAGAAATTTATTAAGTGCTTACTATGCAGAAAAGCTCAACTGATGATGGTAGTTTTCATTAGATTACTTTTTTTCTTTGCCAGTTTAAACAAATTTCACAAAAATAGAGAGTCTTAACCAAATTGTACTGTATCAATTTATGGATTGATCATTTGTTATACTAGACCAAATAACTTTTCTTTAGTTCATTTGATGGAGAAATGAAAAGAAATCTAAAATGATTCTCAAATTTCTTTAATAGTGAGTATGAAAATAAAATGTACGGGATTCATAAATTAATTTCACAAATATTTGAGCATTTATTATGTACAAGGCATTCAGCACATAAGACTGCTTCTTAAGTGGTAGAGACTATCAAGGTAAGTGATGCAAACTTATATTGGAATCTGTGTTTTACCTAAGAGCTAGTAGGTTTCTTGAAGACCAGTGAAAGTCTTAAAGCAGAGGCTGGATGAGCAGAGTGGGTCTGTTATAGTGGGGCACTCCTTTCAGGAGCAGTCTTATGTGCTGGTACCTTTTGACTCTGAAATTTTGTGATTCTGTCTTGGACTAAAATTATATTGCAGTCAAATGTTCTCAGAGGGTGCTATACAGGTTTAAAGAAGGAAGAAATAATAATAGCTTCATATCGCACATTCTGATTTCCTTGAAACAGTTCTATGAAGTCGGTAATCCATGTATTATCATCTCTGTTTTGCAGATGAGTAAATTTAGCCACAAAGTTGGTGACCTAAGTTTACACAGTTGGAAAGAGGGAGGTCTTAGATTCAAACTGAGGCCTTCCAGTCTCAAATACAGTGCATTTTACATCTCACTCCCTCATACTGGGTTATTGTTAGGTAGATTTATGTAAGCATACATGGAAAAAAGTGTTCTAAAACTAGCAGTTGTTGGTACTTAGATTATGTGTGGTATTTTAGAAGTAGGAATTGAATTTTTCAAAGTAATATGAATATGATTTGTGCAAGCATTTTTTTTTTTACTGAATTAAACAATTACTGATTAGCTGCCTTTACTGCCTTTTCTCTCTCCATGCTCTCATTCATTGCTTTTTTTTTTTTCTGGTTAAGAAAAACTTTAAAAAAATACATCACAACCTATTCTTTACCTGCTGCTTGAGTAATTTTCTTACTGCCCGTGTATAACTCCTTTACCTAAGAACTGTGGTCCACTTCTTGATTCATGAATTAATTTCAGATATTTGAGCATTTATTATGTGCAGAGCACTATGCGAAGCAGTGTGGGGGATACAAATAACATAAAACTGTGTGCTTAAGGGTAGGGAACTATTTAGTAAGGAAGCTGAGTGACACAAATACCTATGTTGGGATCTATGTTTGGCCTCATTCTATCTAACATTTTATTAATGACTTGGATAAGAGGCATGGATTGCCTTCTTATTAAATTTACCTCCATTGAATACTTTGGCATTTAAGCCCCTTCCCCTATCTGGCTCCAACCTGACATTCCAGCCAAACTGGACTTTCCTGTGTTCTCTTTCTGCCCTCTCTCATCTATGTGGCTTTACTCAATGATGACCTCCTATGCCTGGAGTTGATTTCCTCTCCCACTTTCATTCCTGAAGTCCTTTCTCTTCACTTAATGGATGTTTAAATTGAATTATCTGTGCATATGCTTCATTCAGTCAGCAAATATTTATTGAGCACAAGTACAGTTAAAGTTTAATATGTTTTAGGCTTCATGAAATAAGGATGGAAGACAATTTCTCTATTTTCCAAACTTCTAGCCATTTTTGTTTCTCGTGTTGTTTAGGTCCTCAATTTTTTAAACTTATAGGAGCTAGTATTAAGCATTGTACCCTAAAAATATCGATGTGATTGCCAAACTCAGTCACCTTTTCTCAATCATCAGTCTTCTTGATCTCTGCAATGTGAAGTCATGGCTGAATAGAGACTTTTCTTGAAACTCTCCAACTTGTTCTTTTTCCATCTTCTTCCCCAGTGTTTTGTCCTTTGTTCTTTTTGACATTTTCTTTCCTTCACAAGCTCATCTACTTTTATGGCTTTAATGTGGCCTCTCAAATCTCTATCTTTCAACCTCTCTTTCTACTGAAATATTGAAATCTCTCTTACTCTATTGAAATATTTCCTTCTGGCTGTAGGTAGTTATCTCACTGATAGGACCTAAAAATGAACGTGTCTAAGACTTGGACTGCCAATCTTTTCTGCCAAATCAGTCTCTTCCTCCTGACTTATTTTACAAATAAGTCTACTTTGTCAGCTTTTATGGAATTGTGCTAATGATGTTAGATTCTTTTAAAGGCCTTTAGCCCTGTCTAGGCATATGCCTTGCTAGATAGGGATATGTGTCCTGTCCTAAGGCAGTGGTAAGGATGCACACAAAGGGCCTATTCAGTTTTGCTTCTTTGTAGTTTCAACCTGTCCTATGTCTGTCCTGCACACTGTTACTAGATTAATCTTTTTAAAGCACCCCTCCAGTCATATCACTCACCTTCGCTAACACCTTCAATGATTCTGTAAAGTGCAAATACCTTGGCATCGCATTTGAAGAACTTCGATTTGTGCCCAACCTGTTCCCTAGTGATATTTCCCATTATTATCCTACGTGTACTCTACACAATAGTCAAAGTAGGCTACTCTTTGTTCCTTGAATATATCTTGTGTTCTGTATCAGTTCGTTTTGTTCCATTTGCTTGGATATCTTCATACTCCACCCTTCCCATCGTTTAAATCTATCTCTAATGTCACTTCTTTCATGTCATTTTCCCCTGTTCTTTCCAACAGCTACCAGAAGTCATCTCTTTCTTTTAAACTGCAGTTGCACTTTGTATCTCTTATAGAAAAAAATTCAACAAGTATTGATTAATTTCCTTCTTGGTATATGTTAGGGATACAAAGACACAAATTAAATAGTTCCTGCCTTTAAGGGGTTCACA